AGGCTTTTGTTTTCTTCCTATTGAGTTCTGAATGTTCTTTATATATTCTGGATACAAGTCCTCCTTTGTCCCCCACTTAGAACTGAGCGGCCCTTCCTTGTTCTCCCACCACGTTCTGTTAAACTTCATTCACGTCCAGATCCAACTCCTGAAATGGACAGTTACTGACAAGCTGGTCCCTCTTCTGCCAGGGGGGCTCCCTGAAGGAGAAAGATGATGACTTTTACCTTTTTTTGTACCCTCTTCAAAAGACGATCAATATATGAAGCCAACGCTCCGGAGTTTATATGCTTGAAATGAATGTCCTCTCTTGCAAATGGTCCCCGTGACTCTCTTCAATGCCTCTCTAGGAGCTGTTAACAGAGCTCAGGGCACGTGAACATGAAAGTCTCCTCAGTCGTAAAAGAATCTCTGAGCGTGGAGTTGATTTCAACACCTCAAAAAAGAGAAGGTAGATAGCTTCTCTGACAAGGATGGTGCATACCTCTGAAGAATGGGTTTCTTAAGAGGGTCGCCAATGCTCCTGCAGGCAATGCTGAGACAAGGGTTGGTGGCTGTCTTCCACATAACCCTCCGTCCTGATGTCCACTGTTCAAATGAGGGAGCTGGAGGACCCAACGCCCAGAGCCAGAAGCTTGCAGAACCAGGATGACTGGCCCCACCTCTCTGTCACCTCCCTGGCTTGGAACTTCTATCCTTAAGATGCAAGGCGGGACTGCCCTGGTGGCAGTGGTTAAGAATCCGCCTGCCAATGCAGGGGACACGGGTTCGAGCCCTGGTCCGGGAAGATCCCACATGCCGTGGAGCAACTAAGCCCGTGCGCCACAACGACTGAGCCTGCTCTCTAGAGCCCACGAGCCACAACTACTGAGCCCACGTGCCACAACTACTGAAGCCCATGCGCCTAGAGCCCGTGCTCCGCAACAAGAGAAGCCACCGCAATGAGAAGCCCGCGCACCGCAACTAAGAGTAGCCCCCGCTCGCCACAACTAGAGAAAGCCTGCGCGCAGCAACGAAGACGCAACAACGAAGACCCAATGCAGCCAAAAATTAAAAAAAAAAAATTAAAATGCTTTAAAGAAAAAAAGAGGCAAGGCGAACACTTATTTTTAGACTTTAGAATCCAGTTAGGTTTATTTATTTATTTATATATTTATTATGTTTTTGGCCATGCTGTGTGGCTTGTGGGGTCTTAGTTCCCCGACCAGGGGTCGAACCTGAGCTCTTGGCAGTGAAAGCTTAGGACTTGCTCTGCTTGGTTAGCCGCTGGACCACCAGGGAGTTCTCTGGGTTAGGTTTAGATGCTCCAGCGCTCACTGGAGACGTCAAGGGGAGCGTGTCCCTGCGTGGATGGTGTTCATTGTGCTGAGGAGTTAGTACAAATGACCACGCCAGCAGCTGAAAGTCAGGGGTCTTTTTCTGAGTCCTTGGGTTTTTCATGTGCCATAAAATTGCATGATGATGAAAAAATCCCAAAATAAAGCAAAATACTTACATGAAAGTACAAAATACAAAACTTACTGATGCGAGTTCATACACTGTTTACTACACTCCGGCTGTGGCCTAAGGGCTGAAGGGCTCTATCTGTTCAGAGGTGGCCGGGGTCATCGGAACTCAGCCCTTCTGCCTAACCCGACCCTCTTTAGACCGGGGTAGACTGCCATTTCTGGACTCACTCGGAGCGTGAATCCCTTCATTGTCTGGGAAGGTGGGGTCCCATCTACTTATAAGAATGAGGGGCGGCCCTAATATCCCAGTATGTAGGGTGTGACTGGCCACAGCCTTGTAGGACCACATGGGCCAACCTGGCTGTAGCCAGGATCTCCTCACTGAGGCCTCACACAGCCAGCACATACACCAGATCCCGAGCCAATTTCAGCCACTTCCTCGGAGCTCGGGATATCAATTCCCACAACCCTTCACCTTGCTCCCTGAGAGCTTTGCTTAACGCTTCAGAAAACTGCTGCTGGCCTGAAACACCTCCCCCGGCACAATCACTCTAATTAGTGTAGTGGATGCCCCAGGAGCACCGTTTTCCAGGCCTCAAAGAAACTCTGGTCTGTTCTGTAAATTTCCATGCGGGTCCCCGGGACTGTGTGAGTCACGGTGCTGGTTCCACCGGGTTCTTTATCGGAAGTGCAGGACTTCCCGCTTGGGGCAGCTGTCCCCTGTCTGAGATGAGTGAGAAGTAGGCACTACCTCCACCCGCTGTGATCACCAAGGAGGGTAAGGATTGCCCCCTGCTTCCCATAACGCCCAGACCCAAGCCAACAGCGTAAACGGAGCTTTCTCCACGCCCTCCAGCCCCTGTGCACATCTCTGCCCCCTGTCTATCCTCCCACTTGTCTATCCAATAAGTACGGTTCAAGCGTCCACTGCGTGCCAGGCCGAGCCTCTGCCGGGGATGAGGTGGCCTTCCCATGGATATTCGGCAGAGGAGCACTCCAGACAGAGGGAAGAGGAGGTGCCCAGACCCTGCCATGGGATGAGCTCGGCCTGTTCAAGGAGCACAGGAAGGATGCTGTGACCGGACGAAGTGGACTTTGGCCAGGGGCCCCGTTCTGTAGTGAAGGCTTCCAATCTGAGAAACAGCCCCTTTCCATGGGGCCATCACTGATAAATAATACGTGTTCTGCAGTATTTGTGGGGCACTGGGTCCCCTTCCTTCTTATTAGAGCAGTGCTTCTTCATCAGGGCCAACTTCGCTCCCTTTGGGACACATGGCAACGTCTGGAGACAACCATGTGTCTGCGCATGCACACGCCTGGCATCTAGTTGGGAGAGGCCAGGGTTCCTGCTAGACATCCTGCAACACACGGGACAGTCCTCACAACTGTGATCCCAAATGTCCGTGGTGCTGAGGTTGGGAACCCTTGTTTTGGGTCTCAGCAGCCTACGACTGGCAGTCACGGGTCCCCTGCTGCGGAGAGGGTGTGGGGTGGAGGTGGGGGACATGGGGCAGAGCTGCCTCTGCTTCTGCAAAATCCTTTCCTCAAGGGGAGTGCTGTGCGTGACTCACAGGTAAGACCCACCCCGCGGTGAAGGGGACAGAGCAGCCACTACCCGGGTCCTCCCGGAGCTTAGCAAACACCAGCCAACCTCAGTGAGCTCTGCTCCGGGGATGGTGCTTTCATTTTCCCGACATGTGTAACCAGAGCTACGTGATTCGCGCACACTGACCAGTGTCACCACACGGTAGTACTGAGCCACGGGCAGGCAGATTCGTGTCTCAGCCCTCCCTCTGCCTGGATGGCTTTTCATCATTGCAATCTCAGGGGACACTGGCTTTCCACCACTCAGTCCCATCCTCCCCAGACCCTTTTCTCTAGGTCTTGGACCCACCTTGCTCTCCTCGATTAAAAAACATCTGCCCTGTGTCACAGCCCCTCGGGATACCAGAAGCGAGGCCTAGAGCCCTCTGAGCTGAGGTGAGCTGAGGTGTGTGTGTGTGACAGGCGTGGCTTGGTACCAACGCTGGACAGAGGAGGCACAAGACACGGAGCGCGAGACTGAGAGGGGCTTGGGGGAGGGAGAGGACAGGGATGCCTGGGGAGGCCAGGCATTTCCTCACTCACCCCTGGGCTCTGGCCGCCTCACCTAAAGGCTGTGGAAGCTGCATCCGCCTGGCTGCGCCAGACCATCAGCGCTCAGCTGCTAGGCTCATTTGGTTACCGCAGGAAACGAGCTGCATCAACCGAGTGAGGCTGGTGTTCGCGCCACGCCACCCTGCTCTCAGCGCTGACTCCTGTCTCATCAGCCTCTTCACGGGGCATTCGCCAGCCACCCTCAGCTCAGCTCCGCCCACTGGATCTCGGAGCGGGGGCGGGTGTCTGTGACTTCCTTTCTCTCCAGCTCAGCAAGGGTTCTGCACCTTTCAGGCTCTGGCGCTGTAGCTCACCAAGTATCGGGTGGTCTTCGTCCTCCCCCCGAGAAGAGCTCACTTCATCTTTGCGCAAGAAGGATCACATGCTAACCGTGGCAAAAGAAGGCCTGGCATTGTTCTGACGTTACTGCAGATATGAGATTAAGGAAAAGAAGTCAGTTCCTTTGGCCTGGGGTAGGGCCTGAACGTTTGGAATTTTAAAACTTTCCCAGGCAATTTTAATGTGCGGCCAGGGTTGAGATGAATGAGATGATCCATGACGTGTCCGCAGCTCTTAACAAGCGTACATGTATATTTTCGCACATGAATCTCTAGCCAGCGATTTTTTCCCTGCCAGAGGGAGCTGGGTGCCCACCGGCATCTTCTCATCCATCTCGCTGCTCATCCCCTCAGCCGCTGCACGCCCCTTAACTTTCCCGCGCCTGTTTCCTCATCTGTGAAGTGGGAATGGGGATACAGCCTGCTTCGCTCGGCCGTCCTAAGGTTTTAAGAGCCCCCCTAACTCCCCATTCCGTCGTCTGACCTTGACTCTGCTCATAACCAAGTTGTTTGCTATGAAAATAGCATCTCTTTTCTGAAAGGCGGGGGGAGGGACTTCTTTCTGGAGGCCTCTGGGGTTTAGGAAGTGCTGGACCGCGGGGCTTCTCCCCGCACGGAGAGCGTTTTCGAAGTTAACTTTGGGATCGTCTCCAGGGAGGGCAGGACGGTAAACGCAAAGCCCCGGCCTGAGGGGCATCGGAGCAAACTCCACCGTCGTGAATGTCTGGTGCTCCGTGAAAGATGTTCTTCCCCTGGGGGCGACCAAAGAGGAACGAGTCAGAGCGTGCCTGCCGCCTCCCCTGGCGCTCGGCGCGGGGGTACCGCCACTTACCGAAGCCCCGCGCGGGGCGCTGGCGGGGACTCGGGGGGGAGGAGGAGGGGGAGGGGGAGGGGGGGGAGGAGGGGGGGGGGGGGGGGGAGGGCGCCCCCCCCCCCCCCCGGCCGCCCCGGCGGCGGCGTGCCCCCAGCCCCCCCCGCGCGCCCCCCCCCCCCCCCCCGGCCCCCCCACCCGCCAAATTTCCCGTGCGCACGGCGCGCCGCTCCTCCCACCTCCTAAATGCCTAGCGGAGGGGACAGCCGCGCTGGGCCTCGACCCGCTGCTCCGCGGACGGCTGCAATGCGGCTCTGAGCTCCCGCGGCTGCACCGGCTCCGCGCGGGGAGTGCTGGGCGCACGGTGAGGGCCGGCAGGGCCGAGCGGGCGCGCGGGGAGCGCGGGCGGGGCCGGGGGAGCTGGGGGCGGCGGCCGGGGCCGGGCGGATTTCCCCTCCAGCGCACTTCCGAGGAGCGCCTACGGCGGGCTTGGGTTTGACCTCTTTCTTTCTTCTTTGCACATTAAGGCAGTGGTTACAGACTAGATGTGATCCAAGTTGGTCCAACAGTGTATTCATTTAAAAAATTTACCTTTGTTGTTGAGAGCGTTTATGTTCTAACCGCTTAGCAAATTTCAGTTATCCGATACAGTGTCACCAGCTATAGACACCTTGGTGTGCAGTAGATCCTCAGGAGCTCTATTTCCCTCACGCTCTAGCGCCTGGCAACCACTCTTTTACTCTCTATGATTTCCACTTAAAAAAAAAAAAAATTAAGCTTCCCGTGTAAGCGATACCATGCAGTATTTGCAGCATTTGTCTTTCTCCCTATGGCTTACTTCACTTAGCATAATGCCCTTCAGGGTTATCCATGTTGTTACAAAGGGCAGGATTTTTTCTTTTTTAAGGCTGAAAACATTCCATTCCATCATTCCTATGTGTGTATCACATTTTCTTTTCGTTTTTGAAGATTTTTGTTTTTGATGTGGACCATTTTTAAAGTCTTTATTGAATTTGTTATAATATTGCTTCTGTTTTATGTTTTGGTTTTCTGGCCACGAGGCATGTGAGATATTAGCTCCCACACTGTGGATGGAACCTGCACACCCTGCACTGGAAGGCAAAGTCTTAACCACTGGACCGCCAGGGAAGTCCCCCCATGTTTTCTTTATCTGTTCATCTGTCCACACTTAGGTTGTGTTTGTACCTTGGCTATTGTGAATAATGCCGCAGGGAGCATGGGACTAGACAGCTCTCTGAGATGATGTTTTTATTTCCTTTAGGTTTTATACTCAGAGATGGGATTGCTGGCTCCTGTGGTAGTTCTGATTTCTTGAGGAACCTACATACTCTTTTCCATAGTGGCTGCACCTATATGTATTCCCACGAACAGGGCACAGGGGCTCATTTTCCTCCACATCCTTGCCAGCGTTTGTTATCTCTTGTTCTGTTGATAATAGACAACCTAACAGGTGTGAGGTGATATCTCACTGTGGTTTTGATTCGCATTTCCCTGATGAGTCCCTGATGATTACTGACGTTGTGCATGTTTTCACATACCTGTTGGCCATATGTCTTCTTAGGAAAAAATGTTCACATCTTTTGCCCATTGGATGATTTCTTTCTTTTTTTTTTTTTTTTTGCGGTTCGTGGGCCTCTCACTGTTGTGGCCTCTCCCGTTGCGGAGCACAGGCTCCGGACGCGCAGGCTCAGCGGCCATGGCTCACGGGCCCAGCCGCTCCGCGGCATGTGGGATCTTCCCGGACCGGGGCACGAACCCGTGTCCCCTGCATCGGCAGATGGACTCCCAACCACTGCGCCACCAGGGAAGCCCTGATTTGTTTATTTCTTGCTGTTGATAACAATATATTTCTGAAGGGTTATCCCTACTCACATCACACACCCAGGAAGTTGGGTTATTGGGTGGACACAGTGCAAACAGAAGATTAGGGAATTAACATTGGATAGAAATGTCTCACAGTTAAAATGAATAACTGATCTAAAAAAAAAAAAATGTCAGCTCCTTAGCAGTCTGCACAGACAGCTCCTGCAGAGCGTGGGCGTTGTGCAGGGACTGACAGACAATATGATGAAAAGACATCTTTTCACCAAGTGCTAGTAGGGTTTTGACTTTGTGGAAGAGATGAGAAAGGGAGGCTCTTTAGATAATTTCTAAGTGCGGTGAGATTTTATAATCAACATTTTTGCAATATCTGTGCCAGTCGTGTGTGTGTGTGTGTGTGTGTGTGTATGTGTGGTAAATATTGCATCTAACTTAAAAAAGAAAAAATCCTGTTTCTGTTTCACTTTTTTGTTGGTTTCTTTAGGTTTCTGACCTGTTGGGGATAAATACAGCTTCCAAAACCCTTTCCAAATCAGCAGTAATCAGATATTGTGAAGTTATTTTTCACTCTTCCTTTGTATTAGCATGACAAACTTAAAAAAAAATCTTTGTTATGTTTTTACCCTTTGTAAATATTAATATCACCTCCCATCCCCTTGTCTCCCTCATTTACTATTTCTGCCCCCGCTTCTTGAAATGGAGGAGTAGAATTTAAGGAAGATAGAGATCTGGGGAGTGTCATATTCCAGCGAGCGCTGGGGGGTGGGACATGGCAGCTGTGTGGAGTGTCTTATAGACAGGAAATCCCTAGAACCACATTTGTGGCTAAATGCACGCTGATTCTGCCCATCCTTACATGTACTAAAATATTTCAGTTAAGTTGTCTAGTCTGGCAGATGGCCATCTTTTATGGTGTTTCCTCTGAAACAGCTACAAGTAATAGGCAAATTGTTTCAAAGAGAGAGCATTTAATATCTTCCTTTTGGTGAAATAAGTCAGACAAAGACAAATACCGTATGATCTCACTAATATGTGGAATCTAAAACAAAACCAAACAAAAAACTGAGCTCATAGAGATCAGATTGGTGGTTGCCGGAGGCCGGGGGTGGGGAATTGAGGGGTGGAGGTGGGGTGGGCGATAGGCAAAGTGGGTCAAGGGGCTTAAAATGTACAGAGTCCAGTTAGAAGAGAAATAAGTTATTATTACAAGAGAAACAAGATTTTTTTTAACATAGTAAAAAAAACACCCTATCTATCTATCTGTCTGTCTACGTATATCTTCCTTTTAAGGAATGGTTGCACATCTATTAAGACCTGTTTCCTCTGTCCTTTCATGTTTTCTTTCTCTTTTCAAGTCAGTTCATCTTATATAGTTCCTTTGTTAGGTAAACTTAAAAAATAATTAAGCTCTGATATGTGCAGAGAGGATTTCAATATGAGGTCCACTGACATTTAACTCCTGCATATGCAACTCGGAGTGTAAAGATATTTCACTAAGTTGTCACCTCAAAAAATTGACAAGGACAGTGCTGTCCTTGTGAAGATTCTTCCAGACACTGGTACCCTTTCTTCTGTATGATTTCTAAGTAGGTGCTTTGAATAAACCAGGACCACGATTAATGTCTATTTTTATGAGAGGCTACATGCCTGGACAGACTTCCTCGTGTGGGTGGCAAAGTTCATCCTTTCATCAGGGCACCAGCGCGCAGCCCTCCTTCCTCCGTCCTGCCTGCCCAGCTTCAGGCAGAAGACAAGCGCAGACTCAGGTCAGTTCAGACCAATTCTGGAAGGGTGTCAGGGTCTCCATTGCCTCCTGCCTGGACATGGACTTGGGCTCCGAGCCAGGCACTGGTGTCCCAGGGGAGTCCTTTGCCTTCTCAGGATGCTTGTCTATTTCACCCAGCCTCTGATCAAATTTTTACTTGATTCTCTGCCAGAACTAGATCCTCCTCCTGGGTCCTGGTTCCAATGGCCGAGAAACTCAGCTTGGCCCTGGTGCTGTTGACCTCCTCTGCTGCACCTCTCCACCCCCAGGAAAGCCCCTCGAATGGGTAGGGGCTACTTCCAGCCCTCCTAATTCCAGACTTTTCTCCTTTGCCCTTGGCCTGAGGGCCAGGCTCCTTTGAGTTTTTTGTGGCTGGTCTCCTGTGGGTTTTGGCAAGACTTTTCTTTGTTTACGAAGGGAGTGAACCTGTGTCTGAAGTGACAAGGTGAAGTGTGGGGGGGGGGGGGCGGATGATTTGTAGAGATTTTGACAATAAACGTGGCCTTCCTTGCAAACCAGAATTATGGGATATGGATATGGTGGAATGAGACTCATTTGAAAGAACACGTCAACCAGAATTTTTATATCTAACTTTGAATGTTTTCCCATAGCCCCAATAGAAGAAAAAGAGCCAGAAGTTGTGTGAGACCAAGTTGGGTAAAGGAAGTAGCTGGCCATCTATTCATGCATTCATGGAGGGATGAAGAGTTTGGACGCTGGACCCAAATGCCTGGGTTCATATGCCAGCTCTGTCAGGTACTTGTTCTGTGACCTTGGGCAAGTTACTTAATTTCTCTCTGCATCAGTTTCCTCAATTGAAATCAGAGGTCATAATGGTATTTATTTCATTGGGGGGTGGTTATGAGATTAGATGGTTCCATATCTATAGAGTTTTACAACAGTGCCATTATGTAATATGTACCATAGGACTTATAGCTATTACTATTTTTTGCCTTTTATGTGCCACGCACTTAAAACCATGTTGTATAAAATTGTTTTGTGGGCTTCCCTGGTGGCGCAGTGGTTCAGAGTCCGCCTGCCAATGCAGGGGACACGGGTTCGTGCCCCGGTCCGGGAAGATCCCACATGCCACGGAGCGGCTGGGCCCGTGAGCCATGGCCGCTGAGCCTGCGCATCCGGAGCCTGTGCTCTGCAACGGGAGAGGCCACAACAGTGAGAGGCCTGTGTACCGCAAAAAAAAAAAAAAAAAAAAATGCTTTGGATCAAGAATGAAAATGAAGTAACAAAACTGGTTTTCTTTTATTGAATTAAAAAAAAAACACCTTGGTTTTAAAAGCAATTGCACCCAAAATGTGCCCAGACTATTTTGAGCAACAGCAGAATTGTTGGAATAAAATGACTAATGTTAGGGCCACAGTATTTAATTTGATGTCTCAGTTTTGGTTCCTACACCTTATATTTAACTTCTGACTCTGTAATTATTTGAAGCCATTCCTGGGCATTACTATGTAAGTTTTCAGCTTTGTCTATGCCGTTTCTTACTATTTCTAATTTATTGATTAGTTTTAAAGATTAGTTGTAAAGTTTCCCCACCTTGTTCTTTTAAGCCACTTTTCTAGATCTTATAGCTATGGGGAGAAATGGAATCATATTTATGATATTGCATCTTTCTACCTATGAACATCGTATGTCTATACATAGTTTATGTCCTTTTGTTATATTTGTTATTTATTATATTGCTATCTGTTGCATTGTTCATTGAATGTTCCTTAATAACATTTTAAAATATAGCAGTCTTGCACATCTGTAGTTAGATTTAGTCCTTGATACCTTTCTTCTAGTTTTTGATGCCCTTGTGAACGAGATTTTTGTTCATTTTTGTGCTGCTTTAAAAAGTATTCATTTTGAAACAGTTCTAGACTTACAGAAATGTTGCAAAGGTTGTACAGAGAGTGCCTGTAAACCTTTCACTCAGCTTCTCCTTTACATGGTTATGTAAGATGTTAACACTAATAGTTCAGTTATTGAGATCAGAAAATTAACATTGACACAGTACTCTTAATTAATCTTCAGACCTTATTTGAATTTTGCCCTTTTTCTTGCTGATGTCATTTTTCTGGTCCAGGATCCCACCAAAAGCCCCATTTTGCATTTGGTTGTTATGTCGCCTTATCACCTTCAATCTGTAGTAGTTCCTCAGTCTTTCTTTGTCTTTCACAAACTTGATATTTTGGAAGAGTCCAGGGCAGTTATCTTGTAGAATGTTCCTCCGTTTGGATTTGCCTGACATTTTCTTAGGACTAGATTGAAGTTATGCATTTTTAACAATAGTAACACCGATGTTTGATAAATTGGATATGTTTTCTTATTGGTTATAGTAGTTTATATGTAGATTCTCTAGAATATTTTATATAGAAAATTGTATTAGATATTTTGGTTGTTTGTGTTTTCCTAGCATGTGAGAGGGTTTTACTTCTCTAAACTTTTGAAGTTTGGCACAGTCACATGACTTTTTTTGGTCAGTGAAATGGGAGCTGAAGTGGTGAATGCTAAGAGATTTAATTGCAGCTGCTTGATTTTCCAGCTCTCTATTCTCTGCTTGTGTAAGCACATACTGATATGAACATGTCATAAGAAAAATAGCATAAAATGATAAATCAACATATGAAGGATAGCTGCCTTCAAAAGTAGCCTGGATCAGCAATGGACTTTGCTTATGTGAAAATAAATGTTTACAGTATTTAGATCTGAGATTTTGGGGTTGTTTGTTAATGTGGCATAATCTAGACTATTTGGTTTGATACAGTATTTTCTGTAAATAAGAATAGTATAGTTTCATTTCTTCCAGTTCTTATATCTCATTTCTTTTTCTGGTCTTATTGCATTGGCTGGGACCTTGAGTACAATGTTTGATAAAAGCAGTGATAATTGACATTCTTGTCTTGATCTTGACATTGAAGGGAAGTCTCTTAATTTTCACTATTAAGTATGATGTTTATGATTGGGGTTTGATGAATACCCTTCTCTATCATGAATTAGTGCTGAATTTTATTGATTCTGTTCTTTTGGTTGCATCCCTAGAGATAATCATGTATTTTTTTCCTTCATTTAATTTACTGATATAGTATATTAATAGAAACCTGATATATTATTTAGGAACTTTACCATTTATGTCTGAAGGAGATATTGTTCATAATTTTCTTTTCTTTTACTTTTGCTCTCTGAAGTTGAAATTTTTATTTCTGTTTCTCTAAAACAGCTTGTATAAAAGAAAGATTTTTATCAGTATTTTGTTCCTTTAAATTTTGTACGTTTAAATCTAAATCTTTTTGAATTGTTGTCTTTTAGGGTGGGGTAAGGTACAATATCTTTAATTACTGTTTGTTTATTCAGGTTCTATTTCTTCTTCAGTGAACCTTGTTATTTGTGATTTTTTTACAATATGATTTCATCTAAGTTGAAATTTATTGCATAAAGGTTGTTCATAATATTCCATTATGATTTAAAATGTTTATTTCTTTATGGTTATGGACCTTTTTAATTTTTAATATGATTCATTTGTGCCTCTTTTCTGGTTAAATCTTGCTAGAACTTTATTTTATTGGTGTTTCTAATAAACAGTTTTTGAATATGTAGGTATCTCCTCTGTTTTATTCTCTATTTCATTCATTGCTACTCATATCATTTCCCCATCGTTTTTGCCTTTTTAATGTTTATTGTCTTTTCACTAGCTTCTTGAATTACATGTGTAACTTATTTTAAATCCTTCTTTTTCTATCTGTAAATTTATTCTTAAGTGATTTTTAGTTGCATTCCAGAGGTTTCAATATGTTGTTCTTTCATTGTTATTTGGTTTAAAATATCCGTTGTGAATTCCTCTTTAAGCCATAAATTATTATTATGATTTTGATTTATTTGATTATTTATTTATTTTTGGCCATGTGGGTCTTAGTTGTGGCACACGGGCTCTTTGTTTTAGCGCGCGGGCTTCTCGCTAGTTGTGGCGTACAGGTTTTCTCTCTCTAGTTGTGGTGCACAGGCTCCAGGGCACGTGGGCTCTGTAGTTTGTGGCACACAGGCTCTCTGGTTGAGGCATGCAATCTCAGTAGTTGTGGCATGTGGGCTTAGTTGCCCCGTGGCATGTGGGATCTTAGTTCCCTGACCAGGGATCGAACCCACATCCCCTGCATTGGAAGGCGAATTCTTTACCACTGGACCACCAGGGAAGTCCCAGCCATAAATTATTTCATATATAAATTTAAAAGTTTCAAAACATACGTTTTTCTCCATTATGTTTTTATGTTGTTGTTTTTTTTTTTTTTTTTTTGTGGTATGCGGGCCTCTCACTGTTGTGGCCTCTCCTGTTGCGGAGCACAGGCTCTGGACGCACAGACTCAGCGGCCATGGCTCACGGGCCCAGCTGCTCCACGGCATGTGGGATCTTCCCGGACCGGGGCACGAACCCGTGTCCTCTGCATCGGCAGGCGGACTCTGAACCACTGTGCCACCAGGGAAGCCCCTATGTTGATTTTTAGATTCTAAAAATGGTACACGTGCAATTAAAAAAAGTGTTTATTCTTTATTTCTCTACATATATATTAAATGAAGTTCATTAGTTTTCTTTATTAAGTCACTATTATTACTGTTTTTTGGTTTGCTTGTCTTATACTTTCTGAGAGGAATGTGTACACATACAATTTATCCTTGTAATACTTGGATATACTGTATCCAAGTACACAATTTATACTTGTAATACTGTCTTTTTTTGTGTTGTATGTTTTGAGGCTGTGTTGTGAAAGGCTTCCAGGTATATCAAGGATCTGTATTATAAGATTAAATGGTGAACTGCTGTGTTGAGTTGCTACTTTTGGCTTGAATCCTCCTTTGTCTCAAATAGCTGCACTAGGGATCTCCCCCAGCCCACCTCACTGCTTAGTACTGCAGGTATCCGTCCCACCTATTTTTGTACCTTTACTTCGGGTGTGTTATTTGAACCTGCATATAGATGGACTTTTTCTCCCAATCTGATAAATTCTGTTTATAAATGAGTTTAATCCACTTATAATAAGTATGATTTCTGAGGTACTTGGATTGAATTCTATTTTCTCATGAGTGTTCTCTTTACCAAAGTGTTTTCTTTTTTTTTATAGATTAAAATAAAATCTTATTTTATTTTTGGCTGCGTTGGGTCTTTGTTGCTGCACATGGGCTTTCTCTAGTTGTGGCGAGTAGGCGCTATTCTTTGTTGCGGTGCACAGGCTTCTCATTGAGGTGGCTTCTCTTGTTGCGAACCATGGGCTCTAGGCATGTGGGCTTTAGTAGTTGCAGTGCGTGGGCTCAGTAGTTGCAGCACATGGGATCTAGGGCCCGCGGGCTTCAGTAGTTGTGGCGTGCGGGCTCAGTAGTAGCTGTGGCTTGCGAGCTCTAGAGCGCAGGCTCAGTACTTGTGGTGCACAGGCCTAGCTGCTCCGCAGCATGTGGGATCTTCCCAGACCAGGGATCCAACCCATGTCCCCTGTATTGGCAGGTGGACTCCCAGCCACTGTGCCACCAGGGAAGTCCCCATTTTTCTTTAGTTCTCTTTTCTTCATTTTTTGTCTCCTGTTGAATTGATAAAGTTTTCTATGTTTCTATATTAGCCCTTTGCTGATTTGCAAACTACAGACTGTATTTGCATTATTTTAGTGATTATCCTTAATTTTGAGTCATGCATTTTAACCATATATAACTTAAAGTTTTTCAGTATTTCTATCATTTTCCCTACCATGACAAGGACCTTAACACACTTTAATTAT